AAAAATTGTGTTTTAAACATAATAAGCTTTATTAACTTTCATAATTGACTCAAAAGAGATCCAAAATGTTTTAAAAATAACAGATAAATCCTGAAGTGGGGGATATGTGCTGCTGGCTATATTTGCTGCTTCCCATTTGTCTCATAGCTTGGCTCTGGAAATGAAATCCTTGTAAACACAGGCTAACTATAGTGCCAGTAAAATGTGAAATATTATATATTACTAGCACTATAAATAGTAGGTGACCATATTCAAATATGCAGCTTATTCCTGCAGGGGACTGTAGGAATAAACAGCAATCTTGCAATCTTTTAATCTACATGTGACAGCAATGTTGCATTTCCAGAACTGGTTTGGTGAATACTGACTTTGCCACTTGTAATTATGAATTAGGCCTACTTTATTTCCTGTTTTTTGCTTTTTGCAAATTGTAACTTGGAAAACCATCTCTTAGTTTATGCATAATAGTAGATCAGAATGAACACCTACGTTGCTCTACGATTTTTTAAGGAATCATCCACACTCCAACAAACAATACTGGTCGATTAACGGTTCATGGCACACAACAATGAGTTAGAAGCGTTTATTTTGCTTACAAATTCCCAGTTTTTAAATTCAGTTCAGTATGTAAATACCATGAGCTGCCTTGTACGTGCAGCAAACACACCATAAGGTAGGTGGGCGTACAGTTCTGCCTAAACAGCATATATTTTTTTACGTTTATCCTATTTTTAAACAAAATGTATCACATTTAAAGACACGAGCCTGCATTCGCTGTGAGTTCAAGGACCCACCAGCAGAGGGCGCGCAAGAGGAGTGGCCTCTGACGCTGTCGCACCTCCTCTGGCTTCTTGCTGCTGCCCGTGGCGATGATGAGGATGATGAAGGAAGGCTGGAGCCACGCAGGCGCACGACGCACAGTCTCCGGACGGGTTGCCAGGGTTACCACACAATAGGAGACGGGACAGGGGGCTGTGAGAAGGGGAGAGGAGAGGGAGTGAACGACAAGAGCAGGGAGGAGGTCTGCAGAGCCGCTTGACTGGACACACCGCTGCAACCTTCTCCCAGACAGACTCATTTAACTGTTTCCAAACGTGTCCAAATCTCCTTTGTTGATGCACTTATTCGTGAAAAGCACGTATGTGCACCTTTATCTTTTTAAACACAAGCATTCCATGCTTTTTTTTTTGTTTTTTCCTCTATGTGGTTTGCTGTGACTAATCCAAACGCTCCATATAGTAAAGGTGACTCTGGAGGGACTAGTCTAAGGAGACCCTCCCTCTGGATCCCCTCCCTATTCAGAGTTTTGGCCCTCACTCTGCGCCTCTCTTCCCTCCTCCTCTCTCCCCCCTTTCTCTCCTTATGCAAATCACGCCTTCACCACTCTCCCTTTCCCTCACCCGACGTTCATCCCTTCCTCTCTCACACTAAATATTTTGACTGTAAGGCTGGAGAGGGGGTACAAAAAAGTGCAAGTCGTCTTGAAGAAAGAGGGGGGGAGAGAGAAGGGGGGTGCAAAATAGGAAAAAAAGGGGGGACCGAAAGGGGGTGGGGAAGAGGCATCAATTTGTACAGTCTGCAGTTGGCACCCCTGTTTTTTTTTTTCCCTGGTTTTTTTTTTCTCCTGCAAGGAGTAGCAGGAGATTTGTTGAGCGTTATTGTTATGATCGGACCCCGCTGCAACATGAGCCAGCGCCAGGCTCTGCTGACAGACGCCTGGGCCCTGAGGTGCGCGTATCGGCGCGCAACATAAAGCAGAAAAAAACGGCAAAGTGGGAGACATCGCTCGGCATTATAGGTAAGGAGAAAATGGATTCTTACACATTCCTGTGAGTAAGCCACGTTTTTTTCTCTCTCCATACCATTTTACCTACTCTTTGTGCGCACATCACCACCATCATCATCATCAATCTGCGTTGCTATATCTAATATTACGTCCCGGTGAATAAATGCCGCACGACGCGGTGCGTCTACATAGGGAGGAAAAATGGGGTCTGATGGGAGCCAAAGCAAATCGCCATTCCGATTTACCTTATTTTCTCCCCTTATGTCTTACATGTGCATCGCTTTGGGAAAACAGCTTAGACTGGAAAATCATGTATGTGCTGCTGAGACGCTTGCTTGGGCTCCAGTGGATAGTCTACAGCTTTGCTCATTTCCCTTTTGCATGTGTCTCAGTACCAATTTGCAGAAAGAAAAGGATCGTTGGTGATGTAAGCAGAGCTACTGCATGCTGCTGCTTTGCATCACACGCACGCAGAGAGGGGAGGCCAGTTTGTTGATGATGCATGTGCTGCGAGTGGTGGTGACACTGCTGGTGTTTGATGACTGGTCGACCACTGGCAGGCCAGCATAGATGCCACCTGTAACTGAGAAGCATTGTTCAGACCCCCTGCTGGTTGCAGATGCTGCTCCTTCTTCTGCGTTATGAATCAATTTAAAATAATACATGGGGAATCATGTACCGGTATGTGCTGCTGAACACATGTATATTAGGGAATATTAGTGGGTAGCACTGCTGCCTTGCAGCAAGAAGGTTGCAGGTTCGATTCCCGACCCAGGGTCTTTCTGCATTGAGTTTGCATGTTCTCCCTAAGCATGCGTGGGTTCTGTCCGGGTACTCCCGCTTCCTCCCACAGTCCAAAAAACATGACTGTTAGGTTAATTGGCTTCTCTAAATTCTCCTTAGGTGTGAGTGTGTGCGTGAATGGTTGTTTGTCTCTGTGTTGCCCTGTGATGGAATGGCGACCTGTCCAGGGTTTACCCCGCCTCTCGACCGTAGACAGCCAGAGATAGGCACCAGCACCCCTCGCCACCCCGCTTGGGATAAAGCGTGTCAGAAAATGGATTGATTGTTTACACCTTACTAGTACCTGATTGGGCAACTTGCGCCTCCAGAATTGTCTTCAGCATCAAATCTATTTACCTGCAAATAAATTGACTGAACCAATGACTGCAGCTACTTTCATTGAGTAGCTGCAGACATTGGTCATTCAGACCTCCCATTAAACCTCATTAAAAATTAGCTCTATTTCTTTGCTATCTTGTGACTATGTAGGTCATGTATATACAGGAATGTATATGCCTGGTCAACTGCACCCTTTAAAATTAAACATACTCTTCACCGGGGTCAAGTGACCCTAAGTGTGGAGAGAATACCCAGACCCAAAGGTAGGATAATGTTTTCCACCATGTGGATAGAACCAGGCTGGGCCCCTTTTGTGATTAGGGCTGCCATAGTTATTTTTGGTATAGAGTCAACAAGGTGTTGTGAAATTCATTTGATACAATATTTAATCCTTATTGACTAAAGGTGTTTTTGCTCCAGATTTGATGGCTCCCTTTCCATCAGCTTCCATCAAATCCCAAAGGAGCTCCGTTGGTTTGACGTTCGGCGGCTGTGGAGGCCTTATATATCAGCTTGAGATGTTTTGAACTGTGTTACATATAGAATCAATCTTTGTGATACCTGTATGAAAATTGCTATACTGCAATCATAATGATATAAAAATAAAACTAAGATAAACATGAGAGACCTTAAGGTGTCTAAGAAAATACCAACCAACATCAAAACATCACCCTTACATTAGGTTGTTGGAATGAGTCTCAGAGATAGACTCTCTGTTGTCAAGGTGGTACCAGGTTGTCTCTCTGTTGCTGTTAGAAATATCTGTACTTTTTGTGTCATGGTTCAGAAGGTTGTTGAAACATTGCTTCATGACTTTTGTCCATATTGACCTAAGTGTGTCAAACATTTGCTGCAGATAAAACAACTTCACATCTCTAAAGAGTATTTAACCAAACTGGCTTGAAAAAGTGTTTGTTTGAGCTACCACTGCCTTTCTCTCTCCACAAGCCAAGGAACAATATCTGTCCAGCTCACTACCACATATTTTATACATTTTGTTTTGCAGACAATTCTCCATAAAAACACCAGAAATGTGGCTGTGATTGACAGTTCAGGTAGATCAACAGATTAAGAAAAAATCAGTACAGCCTGCCTGAAACCGACAACCCTTAACCTTCCTTTTTTCTCATGCTGGTGATCAGTTTGAACCTCAACAAGTCACCTTTATTGCACCTAGACCTATTGCACCTAGCCATGTGATTGTGTTATAAGCAGTGTGTGCATATTTATAATAATTTCTAGTGTTTGTTTCTGATTTCATACTTGATACAACATCCTTTTCTCTAATTAATGTGTGGTAAAGCTGCTACATGACTCACCTACAATGTTCACACACTGTGGTTCTGCTGTTCTACTGTTCTTTCTTTTCTCTTACAACCCTATGCACTATTTTTATCCTCATTTAATATTCATGAGACATTTTTTTCATCATAGTGGCACACGAATGTATGAATTAGACCAACTCGATGAGTCCCTTCTGTTCATTATCAAGCAGAACCACATGGAAAAAAAAGAATCTTGACATTGTTCTTTTCTCTAATGGCTTGCTAAATAAATAAGCATGTGATTCTTCTGACCATAACCAGGTCATGTGGGTTAACCACAAGTAGCTGTGGGTTGTTATGGGAAAGGTGGAAGAAAGCGAGGGGGGGGAATGTGGCTCTTATTACCAGTATGTTTCCTACAGACTACATTCCAAAATGCCAATATCCCAGCTGTTCCAGATACATTTTGACATTTGAATTGGATGAACCTCGTAGGATTGTAGTTTTTTATTTATCCTCTACAAAAAGGGCAGCAAAGAGCTGTTGTGCCGATATAGTGTGCATCATGCAGGGGATTTAAATGCAGTTTTTCTGCCTACTGGCATTAAAAATGTCTCCAATTACTGAACTAATTTGTGAGTGCCTTACATCAGTGACTACAGCTTCCTTTTTTAAAATGCTTATTGAAAAATATAGTATTTTTAAGCAAGATTTCCATTCTGTCTGAACATGCCTTCTTTACTTCTTCTTTGCAGGTTTCTGTAGTTCCTGCAGCTGGTAAACAACTGGGACCAGTTTTGTTTCTGCAATGGCTTCTGTTGTAAAATGGACATAATAGAGGAAGAATAATGAAAACAAGGACACACAAAGAATCGGTATACACATGGCTTGCATTTCTTTTTATTCAGAATTGTTAGAACTTGCATACCTGTCTAATTTCTCAGCATTTATCTCACTATTTATAATTAGTCTAACACAGGATAATTTTCCCAAGACAAGTATTCTCTGTCTCTGTTGTTATTCATGCCCTTTCTCTTCTTTTCTTTATTTTTGCTATTACTACTGCTAACGTATACTACCCCCATTTCTTTTTTTTTCTTTTTTTTTGGTTTAAAACAACTCCCTCACCTTTCCATGATACATATTTTCCTAATTAATTTCAATTATCCCCTCTTTCTAATTCTGTCTTTAATCCCATCCCGCCATGTTTTCTCCTTCCTATGGACTTTACAGATGCCCATGCGCAGTGGGCGAAGGAGGGGGGCAAGTGAAGAGAGAAGGGGTAGGCGCCCTCACACCAGCCCCACTCGTCCTGAGCGCACCGAACGGCAGACGGTTAGAGCTTATCTCTTTGTGCTTGTTGTTACCTCTCACTTTCTTGACTATAATAATTTGCATGCAGGCAAATGATAAAGTGTTTAAGCTAAAAACACAGCACCTGTGTTTTGAATTTAGTGTGCGTAAGTTTTTTTGCATGGTTTCTACAGGCAGTCTTACAGTGATAGGAATTGTTTACCTTATTTCATGTCAGCACATTGAATCCTTTGAAGCTTTGTGTTTAGGACTGATGTTCTATATGTTTAAGCGCCTTCCGCTATAGGCTTTGTTCTAGAAACAGATGTAAATCTCTAATGGATTTAGGACAACAGAATTAAAAGTCTTGTATTGTTTTAGCAAAGAGGTGGTGGTGAGGAACTGGCTGGAAATCGCTTCAGTCGCAGATCACAAGGGCATGATTCATCAGAGAGTGAGGGGGAGGAACTTGTATCACCTCCAAAGAGACAGAAAGTTCAGGTTTGTTTTGCATTTCTTCAACTTCTCATATAAAGATCCATTTTAAAGCAGCCAGCTTCTTGCTATTTTAGACATAAATCAATTTCTGACTGCAACTATTATTCCCTCATTCTAAAGTTACCCCTTTTTTCAATAGGATTCAGCGCCTAACCCAAATCCTCCAACATCAACACACTTGACTGAAAGCTCAACTCCTTCAAATGTTCCACCTCCAACTTCAGCTGCGAGCCAATCTCGAGAGAGTGATAATGAAGATCGCCAATCACAAGGCAGCAGAAGTTCAGCTGTAGGGAGCCTTGCCAATAGCAGTAGCAGCCTGAGCAGTGGGCGGGACATAGACCAGGACAATCGATCCTCATCTCCCAGTCTCTCTGCTTCCCCACTGGGTAGCCTGGACTCTGATTCTGATGGGCCCGATTCACCAAAGCAAGGAGAACGGGAGAAAGGTAAAGAGGCTGGGGCTGGGAAGGTGACTGGAGAGGATAGGAGAACATTACAAGAAGGGAGAGGCGAAGAGCCCTGTGGCGATGTCGAAAAACAAGACATAGAGACAATTGAAGATTCACCATCTTTGAAGCCCCCTTCCACTCCTTGCTCTTCCTCCAGCTTGACACCTTCTCTTCGTGGAGGGGATTCATCAAATGACAGCAACAGTGGACGGAAATCTTATTTTTCACTGGACTCCAAATTGATGTGTAAAGAATATGGCACAGCAGGTGTTGAAGGCAGTAGAATGACTTCCAAAGCCAGCCCACAGTGTGTGAACAAGACAACTATCTCTGGAGGAGATTTTTCACATAACAGCCCCAACATTCCTCACTCGTTACCCCCTCCACTTCCTCCTCCACCTGCCCTGAAGCCATTGGAGCTTGGGGGACAAAACTTGCAGACTGAAGTTAAGACAGAAAGAGACAAAACTGAAAAAACAGAGAAACTCATGGACAAGGCTCAGTCCACCCCACCCTCTCTGCTGCCACAATGCAGCCCGCAGCCCTTTTCCCAGTCTCAGCCTCAGAACCAGCCCTCCAGCCATCCTCACCACTACAGCTCAACCAGTTGGCAGGGCGGGGCAGCAACTGGTTGTCAGGGGAGCTGGAGCTACTCCCGTTATCCTGGGAGCCACCACCCACAACACCAGCCTCCTGTGCAACAGCAGCAACTTCCTTCTGTCTACAACCCACCATCTTCTCGCCACTCCTCCTCCCACCCCTCTTATCTCCCCCATTCTCACCCCCACCCCCACAGAGAGTACCTTCCCAGGTACACTGGAGGGGGAGGAGACAGAGAGAGGGGGCCCACAGGAGAGAGGGGAGTTAGGGGGGAGTGTGGTGGGAGAGAAATCAACAGAGAGTTTTCTGCACCTGTTGGCAGCAGCAATAACAATAATGGAGGGGGAAGTAATAATAATAATGGCTGTGCTGGTTTGAGTGGGCCAAACACCATTCCAGCAAGGGAGTTTGGGGGAATGTCTGTAGGGCAAAATAGGGAGTACCAAGGTTCTGCAAGAGATGGACCTAACATTGGTCCAGATCGAAGAGACTTTGGTCCAGCGTTCAGGGACAGGGAGCGCGAAAGGGAAAGGGAAGGAGGAAGAGAGTTTAATCTGCCAAATCAAAACCAGAATAGAGACTTTGGCCCCACTGGAGCAGCAGGAGGGCATCCAAGAGACAAAGATGGCAACAGATGGGGGGAGTTTGGGAGCCAGACAAGGGAGGTTTTGGGTAACAGCAATCCTAACAGCAACTCCATACCACAGGGAAACCCCCAAAGCTCAGCCACTGGTCTATCAGTCACCCCTACTTTGAATCGTGATCCACCCGCCTCACCCCAAAACAACCCCAATCACCCCTCTCATTCCTCTCTTCCTTCACACCCCCATTCGCATCCCCCAAATCCATCAAACAGAGACTTCCCTCCTCCCATGGAACAGACACAAATGCCTTCAACTGGAACAGATCACTTCCACAGAGACTATCCTCCAGCTGGAGGAAAAGACTTTACTACTGCGGCACCTCCTTCTACTGGCACAAATCGAGAGTACTTAAGCTCCCCGGGAGTGACTCCAAACCTGGGACGAGAGTACCCAGGGACTGGAGGAACACAACACCCTCACCCATCTCACCCCCTCTACCAGCCTGGGCCCAAAGAGAGAGAGAGAGATTCAAATATGCGAGAATCTGCTCTGTACCAAAGCCGTGGAGGCCCTAATCAGCCGCCTGCACTCTCTCCTTCCTCCTCCTCCAGTCATCATGGACAGTACCCACATCCTCCTCCTCAGCCACCTGTACACCCCCCTCAATCCTCTCATTCCCAGCCACCCCAATCAAGTATGGGACCTAATGTACGTCCCTCACACTATCAGTCCTCTGCCCAAACTCCTCCAACTCCTCTGTCTCCATTACCTAGCCCATCTACCAATCAGATGGGAGCCTTCACATCCTTTCCTTCTGGTTCTTCCTCTGCACCCACTTCACAAATTCCTGTACCCGGTGTGCCATCCAGCTGTTCACCTGGATGCCGCCCTTCATCCTTCCATGGCGCTTTGAACAATCACCCTCAGTTTAGTGGCACATATCACTCCAATGGAAGCAATGGCAGCACCATGGCAAACAACAGTAGCAACAGTAGCACAGTCAGTAGTAGCAGCAACACTAACTCACAGGCCCTTTCACCTCAGAATGTCTCAAAGGCACCGCCAACTCTTAGTAATTCCACCACCAACAACAGCAATGTCCCAACACCTACCTTGAGCTCGACACATCATGGTGGAGAAGGAAATTTAGATACAGGCCTACCTCCAACACCTGTTATCAAAGAAGAGCCACCAGAGGACAGGGAAGAAAACGAAAGCCCTCCACCAGTATTAAGAAGTCCCTCACCTGAACCAAAACATGTGGATATTCCTATCCATGCCAGCCAATCAGCACGGTAAAGTCAAATTAAGATGCAGTGCATTGCAAAAATATGAACAACATTTTATCACAGTATAACAACTAAATTCAATGTAATTATTTGAAACTGTTTACTGGATCAAAGCAGTGTATGGCATAGTTTTACAGTGGAAGGAATATATTCAGATTTTTGCTAATAAAAGCCTGAAATGGGGTGGCGGATGTTCCTGATGTCTTTTGCCCCTGAGGGGGCAGCTCTGACCGAGTCAGACAGAAGAACATCAGTTTTCAATACTTCTGAGAAATTCTCAATTGGATTTTGTAAAACACGGGCTATACATGTAGAGTCTTTGACCTCCTGGGAGGGGAACTGCAGTCTCAGGTCATTAGCAGCTTCTAACAGGTTTTCTTACAGGATTATTCTTTGTTTAGCTCAGCAATTTTTCTCATCAGTATTCGCAAGCTTCCCTATTCCTGCTAAAGAAAACCAACGGCCTCTCCACTCTGTAAAGTGTATAGCTAATAGTTTTCTTATCAACAGTTTCTCCCACCTGAAAGATGGCCTCTGCAGGCCATCTAGAGTTAACTGGGAAAAACTAAAGCTTTTCAGCGCTTAAGACGCATTTCTTAAAACCTAACTCTGCTTTAATTATTTCCATGGATAAAACTCAAATGAAGTATATTGAACTTTGTGATTGTTAAGTGACATTTTTGTAATGTTTGTCAGTGTTTCTACATTCCTACGGTCATTCTTATCCCTGATAGTTATGAAAAAATGTGTCTTATGATTCTAGGTTTCATAAAGTCCTTGACCGAGGAAGCGGGAACTCCTGTGCCCGCAGTGATGTCCTCTTTGTCCCGTTAGATGGCTCCAAATTGTGGAAAAAGAGGAATGAAATGATTGAAAGAGCTCGCAGGGAAGTAGAGCAAAGGGCCAGAGATCTGAGAGAGAAAGAAAGAGAGAGAGAAAGAGAACGTGAGAGAGAACTGGATCGTCATTTACAGGTGTGCACAAAATATGGATGAAGATTAAACTGATATTTTTAATGGGAAGGAAATTAGGTCACTAACATATGATTTACTGTCCCTCCTGATTTTTGTTTGTTTTTTTTAGCACCAGAAAGACGTCAGCGCTGCTGGAGGGGGACGCCAGGGTTCCTCGCTCTTCTTCCCCCCATCATCCTCTATTATTCTCGACCCTTCCTCTTCTTCCGCTTCTTCCTCGGGCAACGTAGTAGCCCATCCTCCTTCTCACCCCCAGCACCACCCCTCACATCCACATGCACATCTTCCACCTGCACATCATCTCCACCCCTCTCTGTCGCATGCCATTCCCCACTCCCTCCTCTTACCCACCATGGGTGGAGCATCAGCAGTGGTTGGTGGCCCACAGGGGGCCCTAGGGATAGGTTTAGGAGGTCCGTATTTAGGACCTGACACACCAGCGCTTAGAACCCTGAGTGAATACGCACGCCCACATGCCATGTCTCCACTTGGAGCAGCAAGTCGTGCTCAGGGACACCACCCTCAAGTTCACCATGGTCACCCCCATGTCCACCCCTCATTCTTCCTCCCTCAAATACAAAATCATGCCTTGAGCCACCCGCACCACCTACCTGCTGATGCAGCAACAGCAGCTGCTATCTTGGGCTTTTTGTATGGTGGCAGCCTTGAAGGTGGCCCAGGTGTCCCCGGACACCCTGGAGTGGCAGGAGGCCCTGTTCCAGGAGGAATTGGGGGTGCGGGTTTAGGAGGCGTGGGTTTCCCTCATGCAATGGCCGCCCATCGAGATCGGCTAAAGCCTGGATTTGAATTTAAGAGTGATGAGCGTGTTTATCCAGCAGGATCCATACCCGATCCTGCAGCTCTTGCTCTGGCTCATTCACATTCACATGCGCACACGAATGCCCATGCACATGCTCACTCCCTGCTGCTTGCAGGAGGTGCGGCGGCAAATGAGGTATCACTCTATGGCACTCCACCTCCTCCAGCTCCACCTGGACCTCCACACCTTCAGAACCCATCCCTGGCACAAGTAACCCGACCTCCTCCACCTCCTGCCCCACAGTCACTATCCAATCCCCCTCCTTCTTCTCTTCTTCCACCTTCTCTCCCCTCTCACCCTTCATCTACCCCGCTGGCCGCTCCTTCAGCCCCGGCACCCCCCTCTGCACCTCCACCGGCTCCTCCTCAACCTAATCCACCAACCTCTAGCTCGTCCTCACTACACCACCCAGTGCCCCACTCTTCTTTTCCTAACTCCCTGTCCTCTCATGTGCCACCACCTCCTGCCCCAGCTGCTCCACCCGAGACTTATCCAACTCCCACACGCTCCCCTGCCTCATACGAGCGTGACAGGAGTGGAGAGAGGGAACGGGAGAGGGAGCGGGACAGAGCTGCTTTGCCGGCCTTTGGGGACAGAGAGCGAGAAAGAGAGAGGGAGCGAGAGAGGGGAGGAAGTGGGGGAGGCGGAGGAGCAGGAGGGGGTAATGGAAACGGAGCAGGGGGAGGAAGAGAAGGAGAGAATCTGGGACGTCTTCAGATGTTGAACGTGACGCCTCATCATCACCAGCATTCACACATCCACTCACATCTACACCTGCACCAGCAAGACACAGGTACCAACTGCTATTACCAATGCTGTCATTGTCAGTCAGCTTATGCCAGTCCTCACAAACCACACATCTGTTACTAAAACAAAGTTAGAGTCAGAAACGTATTTAGAATAATTGTTTATTTGTGGGCAGAAATCAACAGCAATAAAAATATACAGCAAACAGAAATATTTCCTAGAGTCATAGCATGTTCTTACTTATTCAATGATTTAAATGACTGTCCAGAACCTCCAGGAAAATATAAAATCCTAGTTGATGTATTTTTCTGGTAATTTTTAAGGAAAAGGGACACTAAAGAAAATAAAACATCATTGCTTTTGAATCACCTTTTGTGAAATGCACATAAATATCCCTTAAGAAAAAGACAGGTTTAGATTTTGTAACTTTTAAAATTGTATTTTTAAAAGTCATTAGAGACACCATGATAAGGTTGTCTTTTATGCTGAGAAATGGCTCTTTTAATTTTGGACTTTTAATTATATTTTTACATTTTTTTTTCCAGGTTGGAATGATCACTAGCAATACATCTTCAGTGATTTTTTATAGCCAAGAATCAGGTACACCGGAAAACAAGAAAGACAAACACAGGCTTATTTATAGCATGTTGCACCTCAACCATGTGCTTTTTGTGGTAATCAACAAGATCCTTGCATTATGGTGGCAGGAAATGGTAACTGGCACTGAGGATTTTATATTTTTATTTCTAGCATGTATCACTAGTGTTTAATATGATAGAGATTGTAAAAAAAAGTTAGATCACCTAACTGTGAGTTTAAAGTAAAAACCTGATTTGAGGAGAAGTTAAAGTATGTGGAGTTCATCCCTCTACATATGTTTATGCACCGTTGCTGCTGGCAATAAAATTATTTTTCAGCATGATGCTGCCACCACCATGCTTGACAGAGGGCATAATCCTTTAATGAAACCCTCACCTTGAGTCTTGCAAACAAACTTTATCCTTCCTTGTCTTAATTAATCATAAAACTTTTCAGCTGAAAATTTCGGTCAAACTTAAAACTTTCACTTTAATATTTCTTGGTCAATGTTCTATTCAAACCCCTTATAGTTTGGGTCAGATTGGAGAAGTTTGGAATGTTGGGGATAACAGTGGAGCTGATTTTAGAATATTCACATTTGCCATTAATTTAGTTGCTAACTGGTATTTGAATTATAGGTAATAAAAATATTATTTCTCCTCTTTTTATGGATTGAAACTTAATTTATTTGCAACTGGAAAATCTGATGTGCAAGTGCAAAGGAAATGCTTTGTTTGACTAGACATATTCCCGAACAAACATCAAAGCTTCTGAAACAGCCTCCCTGAAGACCTGACCTCAAACCTAATTAAAAGTATGAGTCAAAAAGTGGTTTTGTTTAAATATACCAGAAACTTTTTGATGGCTACAAAAAGGAGGTTGTTGAGGTGCAAGTTTCTCAAGAACATTTAAGCAGACAGTGTGGATCAGTGTATATATTTAAGTGTATAACTGCATCCTGTGTTCACTGGGGAAAATCCACATTAAATTCAAACTAATCTCTTGTTTTTTTAATCATTAAAGATGATTGTTGTATTATCATTTCACCCTGAAGAAAGAATGGTTCAAACATGTCTTTGAATACCGAGCTAATTACCTTTGGCACCATGATAATTGGATTTAATCTACTGGATCTACACTTCAGTTAGGCTACAGTACCTTTAAGCAGAATAAAGTGTTCAATCATTCTGCTTATTAACCAATAAATGATTTGTGAAATAAAATCTGAAAAGAAATAGACTGAAAAATTACGATGATTAGAAAAAGCCTAGATCCTTATCTTCTTTTATTCACATTTCTTGCAACCTTTTAACTAAACCAGCATTTCTTTGGGGGTTCATTTGACTGTGTTAAAGTTTATCTTTAATCATTTGGTGAAATTGACCTCACTATTTCCAAACTAAAGATGTTTAAATCCTCAAGTCACTCAGTCCTGAACTGTCAATAATATAAAGGCTTAATAACGGAAAATATGACGGAATTTATCTAGTATATGAATTTTTTTTGTTACCAACAGCCTGCCACAAAACTCGTTTTTACTGGTTTAAGTAACTGTATTAAAACTATTACTAATGACTTTAAATAGTATTTTACCCACAAAAATGTGATTTACATAGTTATTAAGTAAAATCTTAGTATACAGTAGAGGATCAGCCAAAGATATCAGATTTATCAGATGATGTGGGGTGATAAAAAACATTTAATCAGCAGTGTTTATCTTAATTGAGCAAGATTATTTAACACCTTTGTTTTTTTTTAGTTTGTATTCTAAAAATATCAAACCGTTTTTCCTTCGCTAGTTTGTTGATGTTGCTTTTATGGTGAGTTTTTTGAGGGGGTTCATGGTGGGATTGGTTTGAGGATTGGCTATATTATTATTACTAATGTAACATGCTATGTTATATGGTTGAATGTTTATTTTACTAATTATATTCATAATATTTTATTACCTTAATCCTTGTGTATTTATGTTTCCTGAATGCACATTGAAGATCCTGCTTTGACTCACTTTAAGTATGTCCTGTATTTCTTATTACATTACTGGCATCCAGCGGCGGGCGGGGTTCACCCCCTGATGGACCCGTTGGCGTCGGGGTCTCCTTTGGCTCGCCTTCCATACCCAGGAGCAACGCTAGGCACCCCCATCCTGGCTCACCCCCTCACTGACAGCGAGGTGCTTCGCCAACAGCTGTTCGGTGAGGAGAAGGCTCCTCGTCCATGTACTCGTTCAGTTTTCTTCTCTAAAAACAACACAGTGCTGATACTTTTATAAAGACGCTGTTTTTTGTCTTGATGTTGACGGCTCACCCTCTTTGTCCTCCTCCTTGTGTTGATGACAGGTGCTCCTTTCCGTGACTTGCCCCAGCCTTCCTCCCTCACTGGTCCCATGTCAGCGGCCCATCAGCTCCAGGCCATGCAGCAGGCCCAGAGCGCAGAGCTGCAGATCCAGAGACTGGCCCTGGAACAGCAGTGGATCCATCACCATCATCACCACTCCCTCACACAGGACGAGTACTACAGGTGCAGAGGCTTTGTGTCCTGCAGCTATGATGCAAAAAGCTTAAACATTTACAGATAAAAATAGGATTGCATTACATATTTTACTGATTAAAATCTAAATAAAAAAATATGGTTGAATTTTTTTTTTAACCTCCCTGAATCAATAAACCCCAACTGCCAGACTTTTAGGGCATGTCTCTACCAGATTTGCATGTCAAACTTGTCCTGGTAGTCAGACCAGATTGGATGGAGGGGATCTATGAATATTATTTTCAAAGATTCTTACTTTGATTTATACTTAGACCGTGCTACCATATTCACACATTTTAATGGTAAGCCTTCCTTTTTAATTCTGGCTGTACGTTTAGAGTTGTTGACCTGCTGGTCGATGAACAGAAACACCTGTAGAAGTCTCAAGTCCTTTGCAGTTTCTAACATTTTGTTTTCCAAACTCACTGTGTTTCTATCACCATCCATTCCACCATCAGCTCTTACCAGCTACCATTCCCACACTACAGTATTTGATAAAACAATTTTTAAACAAGTGGTGTGTGTTCCATGTGGTTTCCACTACGTCTAGTGCTTTGCATGTTTACCAAAATACTCAGTTTGCGTCTTTTTTGACCAAAGAGGAGCAGCTTCTTGTACATGTTTGCTTTATGCCTTCCATGGCTTTAGGAAAACTGCAAATGAGACTTCTGATGCCTTTTACAGCCACTGCATTCCTCTTGCCTCTCTTCACTAAAAAGCAGATTTACTGAGTGCACACTTGAAAGACAGATTGGCATCTCTGCAGCTCCTCTCGAGTTACTAGGTTGCCAATTGAATTACTTATCTCTTTTACTGGCCTTTCCTTTAAAATGGACAGCATTTTTGATTTCCCTCCTCTTCAAAGGTACATTGTACTTTGTGATGTTATGTCACAAAAAACAACAAGCAATTACATTTAAGTTAGTGGCTTAAACATTACAAAATGTTGAAATATCTAGGAGACATAATAACTTTTACAAAGTACAGTTGGAGCCTTTGAAAGCCTCACAGGCAGGGATATTGTTATCCACAAAGGACACTTTAAACTATGGTTTCTAGTCATGATGGCAGCTTAAACCCTGCCTTATAAATCTAATAAAACATGTTTCTCTTTATCATAATTGCCCCAAAACAGTGTTGGGCATTCTGCCATACAACTCTATTGATTTGGCTTTACAGAAATACAAAGTAATAGAAAGTGTTTTTACGTTAATTAGAAGTCTGTATGCTTGTGGGTCTGTTGCAGTTTTTTTTTCTTCAATAATTTGACCCAGAGCTGCAGAAAAATGTCATATTTTAGTAGTGATAAATGTATAATTTTTATTTCATGAGTATACTAAAAGTCACATATCATGCTTGTTATGAAATATTAGTTGTTTTTAGGTGCTATTTTTCCAATCTGAAAGAAAGGCAGTTGCCACCTCTCCCTGTGTGGGTTCCATGCATTTTATTAGCACTTAGAAGCATATTTTTTAAATAATTTTACATCATTTCATTTTTTCTAAATGAAATGATGTAATAAGAAATGCAGATTTTGATAACTTTTCAGTTTATCGTGGAATAATTGCTTTTACTGTACAAAAAGGTAACAATATATTTTTTTCCTTTTATTAGTTTGGAAACTGATTTTTTTTTTACATACATTTCCACAGATAAGCTTATCCCATAGAAGGACATTTATCTATCCTCTCTGTGTAAAACTTAATTTTCTTTATTTTAAAACGTTAAAATATAAGAAAAAATGATTTTTTTTGTGTAGTGGAAGACTGTCACTAGTTTTTGAAAAGACCCTCCCTCTTCACTTTAAAAAACATGTACATGCACAACCCTGTACTCGCTCCCGAGAGGGAACGCCTGTTAAACGCGTGCATGAGCCCATTTCTCCTAGTTTTGCAGTGATGTGAGATGGATTTCTCCAAATAACATGCCAAACATTACCTGTTGAGTAGAAAATTTGCAACCAAGGCATCAGTGGGAAGACCGTCCTGTGCTTTCAGTGTGCGCCATCGCATGAAAGAATCTCCCGTAGAAACCGTAGCTCACCATCAAATATATGCCTGAAATTGCTCATGTGTAGAAAAAGATAGCTAACTGGGGACGAGCACATAGGACAACCTTACGTAAACTTATCACCAGAATGACTGACTATTAGGGGGAGCAATTATTTAGATGATCCACCTGGAAAAGGAAAATCCTCCACTATACCTTTAAAGAAGGACAAACAATTTGCTAGTAGTAACTATTTTTCAAGTTATAAGTTGTCTTTCTTTTAAACGATGATGTAATATTTGTGCTCTGAACTGGTTTGATATAGCTAGACTAAGAAGAAAATTACTGTAGATTGTTAAGGTTGTTTAGACCAGGTTTTCTTAACCCTGGTCCTTGGGGCCCTCTGTCCTACAGGTTTTAGGTGTTTCTTTGTTGATTAACATGCTTCTGCAGCATAGACCCCTGCTTTATGCTCTGGGACTCATTTTCCTGCAGGAGTGTTATTGCAAAATCTGGAAACACTGATTTTCTTACGTACATGTCCTCTAAGGCCATTACAGAACGTCACCCATAGTTTAAAGGCAAGGCAAGGCAAGGCAAATTTATTTGTATAGCACAATTCAGTACAAAGACAATGCAAAGTGCTTTACATGATTAAAATACAGGAAGATAAACAAAAAAAAGAATATTAAAAACAGTTGGATTAAAGAAAACATGTTTTTGTTGAATTGTTTAACTAAAGTCCATCCAAAGAAGCTAACTTGTCTACCAGTGTTTGGTTTACCTCTAACCTGGTTTCCACAGATTTTTTTTATTTTTATTAATTTATTAAACATGGATAAAAGATTTTTTTGTTTTTACATTTCTCTGTGAGATTTCACTCATCGAGTAAAGGGTGCTGTCAAACACTTTACTTGTAATCTATCAATGAGCATTAGGAGCCAAATGTAACCATGCTGACCTTCATATTAATGTGAAAATAACACGATTTCTTCTTCTTCTTCTTTTTATCTTTCAGTCACCTGAAGAAAGAAAGTGACAAGACCCTGTGAGGGAGGGGGGGACATGATGAAGAGCTGCTCGGGCAAGAAGACGACAATAAACATGTGAATCTGTGCTAGAACAGACTGAAGAAAGAAAAAAGAAAAGCACTGAAAACAAAGAGGGAACTTATTAAACTAAAGTCAGACTGAAAGGCAGGGAACCAAGTGCTGCAAATGGGAACATTTTAAAGGATTAACAAAAGAAGGAGGTGCAAAGACGATGCACGTTGTCCCTGCAAACCACACCGGACTCCCAGTGTTCCCCTGTATTAATCTTGTTTTGTATTGTGCTCTGTACAGTATACTAGGTGGGAGGGGTGAGGATTGTGAAGTACAGTATGTTGTAAAATACTTGATGCCAGGAGGAATGAGTCTCTTTTATTTCATTGCATGTAGCTAGGCGCTTCTTCTGAACTGGTGGAAGTTTTGGTTCTCTTTTTAGTAAATCCTCCCCTCTTTTGTACCAGAGGGACATTCGATATGCATGAGACCAGCAATTTAGTGTTTCTGTTCATGATGATAGTATTGTTATTATGATTAATGTTGTCTGTTTGTTGATAATGATATAATTATATATACAACACATATTATTTGTATTATTTTTTTACATTTTCATGGTATGGCAGTTGGTTTTTATTTTTTATTTTCAATTTACCTTGTGAAACAAGATGCAAATGAAGGCAAAAAAAAAAGAAGAAAATAATCTGGGAATAAATTATAATCTCTTTTTTTGCTAGTTTCCTGAGTGTTTGTGTGTGTGTTTCACATACATTCAGACTTTTCGCCCTGCCTTTTGTTTTATACAAGTCACTCGTGCACAAAGCATATCAAATTCCTCCCACCCCCCTGCCCCAACCCCCCTCTGCACCAGCCTCTCCCTCCCTCTCTCGGGTGAGTGAGGCTAATAGGAGACACATGGGATGAGCGTGAGACATGGGAGGTGAGTTGCTCCAGTGAACAGCAGCAGCAACCCTGTAGAGCGAGCATTCCTGACTGAACTGTAAAGGAAAAAAAGAGAGAAAAGAGTCAAATCTGGAGAGAAGGACAAAGAAGGGAGAAGCTGAAAGGAATGATTTACTGAAGCTGCTGAAGGCTCAGGGTTATGTGTGCATGCTCTCACCGACCAGAGAAACGGATCAGTTGCTGCAGCCTTCACTGCCACCTCACAGATCACGTTTATTGATATCTCCCAGAACAAAAGAATCTGCAGCTCTCTTCCTTTCACGCAGCCTTCCTACTTCTTTAACAGTGGGGTTTGTGTCATTTCAAGTCACCTTGAAGAAGTGTGTCAACATATGTAATGAGTCTTCCTGCAGGACACATCTCATTTTTTTCCCCCTCTGGTAAAATCACATCTGGGGTTTTATTCTTAGCACATCATTATTTTCCTAAATCCAGGACATATGTAAAGTGTAGGCCAAATATGCTGAATGGTTTTAAACACAAAACTTGTTCATATTTTTAAATTCATTATTGTCAAAGGTCTCTATTTTCTGTTTTAATTTTTCAAGCCATCTTCTTTATTTTGTTTTTCTTTCTTTTCCATTTTGGACTTTGGTCCTAGACCTGCATCCATTTAGTTAATTTCTTCTTGTATATAAAGCTGAACGCATCCCCAGAGTGCTGGTGGCAGAATTATACTGCAGGGCTGTTTCTCTTCAGTAGAAACAGAGAGGCTGGTCAGATTTGATAAAAACATGAATAGGAAGTTTAATATACTAGAATAAAACATATTAGAGGCTAAAAAGACTTAAAACTTTGGAGAATAAACAATTTCCGACAGGAAAAAGTGACCCAAAGGTACACGTAGTAAAAGCTGACCTAAAAATACACTATCATGTCTTTGATAAGACAGTTAAAGGTCAAACTTGAATCTAAAATAGAATCTACGTCAGTGTCTGAAAACTGCTGTTCTGTCAGGTTTGTAGGCGTTAGTTCAGGGCCCAAATGCAAAGATGAGGAGGCAGAAATGAGTTTTGCTGATTTAATAAAAAAGACAACAGAAACAATATCCAAGAACCCAAAAACAGTGAACAAAAAGAAACAGGAGACATCAGGGAAAACACACTTTAGGAGCCAAGTAACAACAAGAAATGAGGAAACAGTAACTGACGAGAAGGAGTATACAGTATATGGGAGACAGATCAAAGAATGGACTAATCAGCTGATATGGAGCAGGGGTGGATAGAAGTAACTAGAAGGGAGCTTGGGGAAAGGAACAAGGTACAAGGGGGCAGCAGAGAGTAACTCAGAAATTTAACACACACCATTTAGGCATACTTTTTACTCTGTCATTTATACAAAATTTGAATTTCCTTCTTGATAAAATAGTTATCAATTTTAATTCCTTTTGTCCATCATTCCAGGTTGCCGGGGTGCAGAATTTAAGTCTTTTTTCCCAGTTCAGTTCTGACTCTTGGAACCTGCATCAAGAGGATTTCCGAGAACAAAAACTGTGTCGATTAAATTTTTCTATGCATATTCCCGCATAGATATGTAGGCTAAAGTCCAAAAATAGCTTTGTGGATAAAAGCCAGCACATCGGAGAGCTTACTAGAATACAGGAATGGAGAATGTGCAATTGAATGTAATGAGCAATGATGTGCACTAAGGCTGCAACCAGTGACAGTATACTATTTATTTAAAAGCATCCATAGTCCTTCTTCTAGGTAAAATGTATATATATATATATATATAACCTTGAATGTTATTACATTTTGACATTTCACAAACCAAAAACTAATTTATTTATTAAAGTGGCTCTGGAGCTGCATGTGTCCTTTTGGAGCATCTACAATGGCCCTTAATAGTGACTAAACATAATAAACATTCATTCTTTTACAATCTAAAAATACAAATAAACTGTAGGTCATTTAAAATGGCAACAGATTTCCCACAGCGTATATTTAACAAAAATAATGTGCATTTTATTGGAGGGTGATGTGACTCTTAACAAGTATTATTTGCTGGACTTGGAGAGAATGGCTCTTTGGATTTTAAAGGTCGCAGACCCTTCCATTAGACAATGGCTTTAGCTTGTCGGCTCAGGCACACTTGGGTCACTCAGGAGAACAATTATTAGAAGGACCCCAGCAAAACAACCCTTAGACGACTAAATTAATATCAAGGGTTTGAAGTAGGCTTACAGGAGTATAGACTTTTATCTAGCAGTGGGCAAAGTGGGCAGTAACTCAGTAAGAGTAGCGCTGCTTCAATACAATTTTATTCAAGTGGACAATAGTCATTTAAACAACTACTCAAGCTAAGTTTAAAAAAAGTATTTGAAGACTAATTAAATATTTCTTGAATCAGATTAAATAGGACTTGATTAGTACCGTTTAATCCCATATATTTTATTAAAATAATTGAATCATGCAGATAAATATAAAATCCTGTGTGGTTTCTGATACCTAAAAATGACAAGATAAATAAAAACAGAAGAAACACACTTTTTCTAACTAGTTTTTCCATTGCAGAAAAAATTCCTACTTAAGTTTACAGTTAGTATAAATCTTAGAGTAAAACAAATTGAGCCTAGGCGGGAGTTAAACTGAAGAAACTCGTTGCTTTTCATACATCCACCTGAGAAACTACACTATTCTCTGCTCCTGTTCATGCATCATATTGATATCTGTTCATTCATATCTATCAAAATCAAGTGCTATCTTTCCTGCCGAGGTCTCAGCGCCAAAGACAAAGTAATTGTATCAATACATTTCTCCTAATTGTCTTTTCTCTTTGAGTTTTTCAGATTGAAGTGACAGTATCTACTGTTTACTGTATATTCACTTGACCTCGAAATGACACAATGGTGAACAAAATAGCACAAAACCAGTGAAGCCTGTTTTGCACCAAGGCCAACCAGACAGATGTGTGTTTTTAGTTAAAATGTGTTTGTTTTCCAAATAGTGGTTACTAGAAATGGGTGACCAGCTTAGTATTACTTTAATTTAATGTTACTCTATTAGAAGGAAAAGGTTTAAAGCAGTTAAACAGGTGTATTTCTTTCTCTTTTTTTCAAAATTAAAAGGCATAAATCAAACATATAACTAGTTCCTGCCCTCCTCTGCTTATATCTTATAACGGTGAGGTGGGATCTGGAAACCAGCTTTTAAAATGTAATTTAGTGCCAGTTATAACAAATGCTTGAGGACAGTTGCAGGCAGCAACAAGTTACCTAGTTTAGTTTGTTTTACATATGCACATAGAGCAATATTGGCTTTGAAAGATATTGACACATAAATAAATAAAAATAATGTTAGGCTTTATTTTTTTTTTTATATCATGTGATCTTTGAAACTAAGGTTTTAATTTTAACAAAAAGAGAGAAACTCAGGTTTTTCCCCCATGCAGACTGAGAACATTATCAGTGGGAAAACGAATCCACTCTTGGACAGAGAATACATGCACGCTGCCAAATGCATCGGAATGATGGATTATTATGAATGAAAGGATGCATCTGCCCCCTACTGGGCAAACGTGGGATTTTTACTCTGCAGCAAAAAGCAGAAAAACATTCAGTCAGAGAATTTAAGTTTTATTCTTACATGAAATGTGAACAAGACATTAAGTAAAAAGATTTATTCTTGCACATATTAATGTACACAAGTTGTCCAAGAATTTTCAACACTACATACAGTAAATCACATTTCAAATGTATGATCAATGCATAAGCGGATTTGTAATAATTACAGTATAACTAAGCCACCAGGGAATGAGTGTGGAGCTCATTCTTGTATATTTTCCCTCTTGTGGACGCTCCTTACATGCCTGCCAAGAGACTCCATCCATTTAAAGGACTTGCCACAGAAAGCACATATGTAGCGTTTCCCCTCGGTGTGAATGGTCTGGTGTCTGTTCAGGGCGCTTGTGGTGATGAAGGTCTTCCTGCAGATGTCGCACATGTAGGGCCTCTCTCCCGTGTGGGTCCTGATGTGTGCTGCCAGGTGGGAGCAGTTGCTGAAGCGCTTCTCGCACACGGAGCAGATGTAGGGTCTGTCTCTGCTCTCCTCTCCGCTGCTGCTCCCTCCGCCGCCGTTGTTGTTGCTGCTGGCGAACTGCTGCTGGAAATGCAAGGCTTGGTCGTGGATGCTGGTCAGCATGCCGGTGTGGGGGGAGATGAACTCCTGCACATGTGGTTCCGGGTCTTCTTGGTTCTCTGTGGGGTCGTGGACCATCCAGAAGTGCCTCTTCGTTGCCTCTTCTTGCTCGTCTTTGACCTGCGAGGTCTCCGGTTGCTCCTGGTCGGCGCAGTCAAGCTCATCCTCCTCCTCCTCCTCCTCCTCCCCCTGCGGGTGCTCCTCCTCATGCGGAGCAGCCATTGCAGGGGATGACTGATGTGGCTGGACAGAAGGAGACCCAGAAGGAGAAGGGGAAGCAGAGGGAGGGGGAGGAGAATGCAGCTGCTCGGTTTCTAGATATTGTTCCGAATCAGGATCGACTAAAAGAAAACAACATATTTAATTTAGAGTAAATCTGACACCAGGATGCAGGATGCATGGATTCCCTACAAACCTACCCGAGTTTTGGAGCTTCAGCTGCATCTTGAGCTGCTGGATTTCTGAATCTTTGGAGCGTAAAAGCTCCTCCTGGTACACGATTATTGTCTTTTCCACCGCTCCTAATATCTCCTCGGCCACGGCGTTCAGTCTCTCGTTAAGGAAAACTCTCAGGTGCAGCATTTTTTTGGGGGAGAGGGTTAGCCTGAAAAAAAAAACTACACGAGCTTAGCCTCGGTTGAAGACGGATTTGTGCGGGTCCGTGAACGTCACGCTTCGCTTGTAAACACGGATGTGAATGCAAGAGTTACGTCAAAATGTGCAACGTAAAGTTAGAGCTGCCCCCTTGTGGATCGGAGGGCAAAGTATCTTCTTCTTCTTCTTTGTTACGGATTGTAAACAGCTTATAGGTGCATGCCGCCACCTACTGTACATCAGCGTGTAGCTCTATAGTTCCACCTACTATATTCTATTTTTTTTTTATTTTTGTGTCACGTAAAAATAAAAACAATGCTTTATTAATAATCAAATTTTCCTCCCTATCTTTATCTGTCCCTAAAATTCCTTTAATACTCCATTCTCTCCCTTTTTCCATAATTGCTTTCCTCATCCTAACTCTATCAGTTGCATATTTAATTAAATCCATCAAAACATGATTCACATTTTCATTCTTTTTTTTTTACAACCCTCACATATATCATTATTTCTCTTCCCTTATAATAATAGTTTAATAATTTTTAACAGTTACAGATTTTTGAACCCTGTATAATCTTTTCTCATCTTCATCCCATATTTTTAGGGCAAAGGATCATTTTTGGGAGTTAAATTTACACTAAAAGGAACTTCAAAACATTATTTGAAAGGCTTCCAGTGAAGTTCCGTGATTTGATAATAAATGAGCTGGCATTAAATTGATTTGGAATACATATCAATTCATATTACTTCAAATAAGCCATGTAGGAGGTTCTATTGTCTGTATTATTTCATTTGAGGAAACTGCTAGTGCATGGAGGACAGCTCAGACATAATGAAAAATAAATACAGAAAAATAAATGCACAGTAAATACACTGGCATACAATCAAATGAAAAAAATACCTAAAATCCTCCATATATTTGTGCTCGCATCTCATTCCATTAAAATTCTGCATGAGAGAAGTAGCTGAAGATCTCTTTTGTTATTCTTTCTCCCTTATTTTCTGGTAAAGCTGATAAAAAAATATGATCAACATATATTTGTTTTATTGTAAAAACATTAGCAAGCCCTAAAAGTTTTTGAAAACGTTGAAAATATTTAATAGCTTTATGAGTAATTTGACAGCATGTATGTGTGTGCTGTGTACCCGATAATGGCCTAAAAACATGTTTACTGTCAGTTTTGTGTGAAGAATATATTTATAATGCAGATATTTATCCATCTCTTCTTATCTTAATTGGGTTTTGTTTCTGTGCAGTTTAGACATAAGCCTATTTAATTGTTTTATTAATTATTTGACAGCATTTTTGTTACCAATTGTGCAACTCTAAATGTCCTTTAAAATAATGACAGGTTAGAAAACTGCCTGCAATCATTTACGTATGTAGAAACAAGAGGAAAAGCAAATATTTAGAAGTTTAACATTATTTTTCTTTATGAATTAGCTTTTCCCTTCTATGTAAAATGTATGTTTCAGTGTCGATTCCTTTAAAGAAAGATGAGAGAAAACCAACTGAAGATCACTTTGATTTCTTTTTTAATGGTATAACCGCTTCATGAATAAACTATCATACTAGCATTTATTCTTGTGTACCTTGCAAAAAGAAGGAAGCCAGTTATTTTAATTTGATATAAAGCTTGATCAGCATTTTGACAAAACTTGTTAAAAGCTTTACACAATTAACCGCACTCCAAAAATAAAAATATTCAAGATACATTTTTTCAAGGGTCGAACATACTAATTTGTGTCACAGTCTGTGATGATGTTGATTTATAGATGATTGATATTTATAGAATCTTAATATTTTTGTCTCTGTGCGAGTTAAATCAATTTTTCTTAATCTGTTTTGAAATAAGTATTCTTGATAAATAAATCAGGAAGCATCCACAGTTCTAAAATTATGACATTTTTAATAATTGTTGGTGGATGCATTTTAACAACCTAACAACTTTTTGCACTGAAATTTTCTTGCACCTTCAAAAACAGGACATGATCTCCAATTCTGAAATCTAGTGACAATGAACAAGAAAGCAGACCAAAAAACTATTCTACCAGGAGTGTCTAAGATAATGGATGAACCAGTGGCAGAGCAGCTGATATGTTTCTTGAAAAAATTTGCTTCATGATTCAGTGCAGTTTGGGTTTGACTAGGGATATTCGAAACAATTGACTTCCACCTTCCTTCCAGAGACATTAACAGCTTCTTAGATGGTGGTACGGTGGTTTGGGCGGTCATGCTAGGTTTGAAAACACTTTTAAAATAGTAAACTATATTATACTCCAATATAAACTTAGCAAACTCTGTGTGTCTCTGATGAGTTGTTTTGTTCATATCTAAAGAAAAAAAAAGAGTGAATTAAAGTAAAAGGAATGAAATAATGCTCCTAAAGCTGGATAATGGGATGTTCACAAGGTTAAACTTTAGGACCATTGCTTTTCTGTCTTTACATCGGTCATTTCAGACGATACCATCATATCCATATGTGCAAAGTCTCAAAGAGAGGCAGCAGAGATCCCGAGCAGAGAGACGATGTCTCAGCAGTTAAAGAATTGTGTTGGATTCTGAATTTGAAGGAAATATATTCTCAGTCTTTTTAGCAAACCTGTGAAGTCTGCTGTAACTTCTCCATTATGACTGATCAGAGAGAAATCCAAAAGAAGTTGAGTTTAAATATCTGACTATGGCTTTAGATTCTCCAAACTTGAAAAGTCTCTAGAGCTAATAACATTACTACCCGCTTTCCTCTCATGAGGGCATGTTTATCTGTAAATGTTGTCCAGTTGGATCTTCATGCCATGATTCTGTCCTCTCTCTCATGTGTCACTGTTTGTAGCCAAACAACTAAATCTGCTTTAAAACCTATAATTGTAGCAAGTTTCAGACCAGAAAACGAAGAGATGGCACCACTGTAACATACAGAGAGAACTCACTCTATTAAGTTTAATTTCTTAAATTTCTCCTTTTTAATATTAACTTTTTAAAGCATCATTGACTTTGTCCAAGAGCCAGTGAACAGGGTGATTTTAAAAGCCAGCAGCTCAGGAGTTGCAACTAGAGGAGCAGCTAATAAGGTCTGCAAACTTAATAACTTGGACAGCCTCATCTCATTCTGGCTCCTCAGACTCAGGGACTACCGATGAAAATTAGCACTCCTTAGCTAACTCGGGTATATTTACATTGTTTTAATGTTTATTAATGTACACTGTCCCCTTTCAAATAAACAATAAATGAAATGAAAAAATGAAAGAACAGTTTACCTACAGCAATAGATAACACATTCAGCTCTATGGTTAAAAAATGGTTAATACAGAAATGAATGAATGCTGATTTAAATCTACTTACTTAGCTGCAGTTTGGACCGTTTTTCTAGATGTTTCCCATCCTCTGTCAGTGGTTTTAGTTATTTTGCCCATGGATTTGTTAACTTGTCGTAAAAGTGTAATATCCCACTTTAGGGGGCATAAATGTACTTGTAGGGACCAGTTAAATGGTATCTAAGAGGGAAAACTAGCTTAGAGTGAGGGTCTGGGTAGAAATGAACGGAAGGCAATGGAAAGTCACCATAAGAATAACTGAACATAACTTGTAGCCTATGCAAAATAATTAGTTTCATCTTGATGGATCTTCAAGTAAAGTCCAACCAAGGACTGGGTTTGCAAATTAGCCAGGGTGACCAAACGTCCTCTTTTGCCCGGACATGTCCAATTTTTACATCATATCTGGGGTGTCTGGAGGGGGCTTATAAATTCATGAAAATGTCCTGTTTTCACGGTTTTTCATCGGACCATAATCATATGCTTAAATGGGCTGGCGCTTTGCAGAGAATACTGCCACACTTTTTTGACCTATGTAATTTAGGTGATATTTAGAACATTATTTGATTTTATTTATGTATTTTAAAAGAGAGCTATGATTTTGTTTCTGGTTGTTACAGATTTGGTTTTACTACAAAGGTTATTTTTGTACCATTTAGGTATAATAAAGCATGGTCATTAACCTTTGAGAAGCCTGTCTGAATCTGTCTTGAGGTAAAGTGGGCAAAGTGTCCTCTTTTTTGGAAATCAAAATATGGTTACCCTAAAATTAGTCATCGGCTAGATAATCTTTATGCAAAACAATGGCTGCACCATTTTAATATGTAACTGTGTCCTATGTACTGTTCTTGACCAAATAAACGTAACGTGCCGTACCCAAGTCGACCTCACAAACACTTTGCTTTCTAGTATGAAAAAATGTAAGGGTCCAAAAGTCTCATTCAGTTTAGCTCTGGGTCTTTCTACCTGAAGTTGAAATTATTTAATCTAAAACATAACATTCTAGCTCTGCTAGTTCTTTGGAAAACATCCTTGGGCTTGAAACATACCATAGGGTTTTATTATTCTACAACAAATCAAGGCTTCTAGTTTTCAACCAGCATTGTCCTTTAACCTTTCTTGTCCAAGCAGAAGAAAAATGATGCAGCCTCCACCAGAATTCACCATCAGAAAGCAGCTAGCTTTTATTTCCAGCTCCTCATTCAGCCAAAGGGCTTTCTTGTTCTTTTCATGTCTTGGTAAATTTCTAGTCATTTCATTTTCTTCGTTTTCAGACAAGTAAAGAGTGCTACTTTAGATTTTTTTGTTTAGAGTGCGTTTAGTCCAACTCTGCTTTAAAACCCTCCCCAGCTTTACCTTTGACTCATCCGCTATGTTTCTTCGTCCTCATTTATTCCCTAATGATCTCCAACAAATCTAGAGCACCTTCAAAGAAGAACTGAAACTGAATTACACACAGTTGGACTATTAACTGGTAGACTTGTGAGGGCAATTTGTTATTCTAGACGTTTAGGGGTTTTTAAGTGAAGGTGGATAAATATAAATTCAAATTTTTATGTCATTTTTACACAGTTTAACCTCCAGTATAAGGGGCCTCATTTTGCTCAATCAATATCTTAGGCGGTTTTAATCTATTCCATTAAATTCCCTTTTTACAGTAGCATTATGAATATTCTAAGGAGTTTCTTAAAATGAATCCAAATGACAATGCCAGATAGTCTCTCTGTTGCATCTTATTTCAGCCTTAGGATACAAATAGCAGTGTGTTCCATCAGGTTATTGAGTCTGTAATAAGACACCCTCTTCTCAACATGTCAGGAGTAACAACCGGCTGCCATTATCAGAACACTGTAGCTTCATAAAAATCTCTCAGCATATGAACAGCAGGGCGGCTTCTTTTCCACCCAAATAAACTAACAATCTCCCAAGATTTTATTGGAAAGTTATAATAGAAATCAGAGTCAATAAAGACATGACATATTTCTTCTAAACCATTTATTAGAATATTTCTTTATTATTTTCCCTTCTACCCGCAAGTCATGACAACACAACAAACGCATAATAGACACTTTCCTCTCTGCGAAAGTAGTGAAAAAAAAAAAAAATTGGATTGAGCACGTCTACAGCGAGGGAAAAAAGACACAGATCTTCACATTCACACAGAGACAGCATAATAAAGAAAGAAATGTGACCGACAAGCTGTGACAGTTTATCCTCAAAACAAAAAGTTAAGCAGTACGTAAACCTTTCAAGTAAAGGCAGAGGACTGAATGTCCACGTCTGGTTGTCAGCCTTTACAGCTAGAGCACTTTGTGCGGAAGTTAACTTTGCACACGGACCGTTCTCAGTAGACTCATCAGTGCAGCACCAGTGCATGCGTCAGCTTGTCCCTTTTTTTCTTTATGGGGGAATTATACCAAAAGATAAAAAGGAAAAAACCAAGGGAATGACAGCATTACACAAATGGTTCAAACAGAGAGGAGGGAGGGAGAGTAGTACTGCGAGTTGAGGGACCTCGTCTGGGTGTTTATGCCTTGGCATTGATGATGTCGATGAATTCTGGCTTTAGGGAGGCCCCGCCCACGAGGAAACCGTCCACGTCCTTCTGGGAGGCAAGTTCTTTACAGGTACCACCGGTTACTGAACCTATGAAGCAACATTAAAGTATGAATAAAGAATAATGTGCAGAAATTATCCAGTCATTTACCCTTTTAATACAAGAAGCTCACCTCCATAAATGATCCTCACAGAGTTGGCTACGGCCTCAGACACATTGGTCTTCAGCCATTCCCTCAGTTTCTCATGAACTTCCTGAGCCTGAGATATCACACAATAAAAAAAAAATGCATGAAACCGCACAGCATGGCCTTTTGTGGCGAAACATTTAGTTATTTCTAATATTTACCTGCTGTGGAGAGGCAGTCTTGCCGGTGCCGATAGCCCAAACAGGCTCATAAGCGAGCACGACCTTGCTCCAGTCCTTTACATTGTCTATCAATGAGATAAGACTTTGTATTGTACAAGCAGATGTATTTTCACCCCCAAAGCCGAAATGGAGTTGCATCACTCAGCTTCCCTGCTGAAAGCTACATACCTGCGATGACTTTGGTCTGAGCAAACACCACCTTCTCCGTGATGCCTCCCTCCCTCTCGTCCAGTTTCTCACCGATGCAAGCGATCACGCCAAGACCGTTCTCTAGAGCATGAGCAGTCTTCTGCCCAATCAGCTACAAAAAAAAAAAAAAAAAAGTAGAATTTGTTTAACATTGAACTCCAACCGGTCTAAAGCAGATAGTGGTGGGTAATACCATGATCCTGTTTTACCTCGTCGCTCTCTCCGAAGACGTGGCGCCTCTCGGAGTGTCCCAGGATTACCCAGTTCACACCACAGTCCTTGATCATCGCAGGGCTGAGAAAGAAAAATGGTGAGGATGGTACCAAAACTGCTCTGAAGTTAAAGATTATAAACTGGACTGGTTTTCTTCTCAGTACCTGATCTCCCCAGTGAAGGCACCCTTGGGAACTTTGTAGCAGTTCTGAGCTGCAACACCGAACTTGGCATCCAGTTTGGATCTGGCAAAGTCCAGGTAGATGGATGGAGCACCACACACCACCTCTGTTAACAAAACAGAAAAAAACTGTAAGTTTTTACTGTAACTGTAAGGTTTTCAGCAGTATGGCACCATTGCCCCTTAATAGCGCTGCACGCCGTTAATCACCTGGAAAAAAAGGCTCTTACAAATGTATATTCCCTACATACAGCCATTTCTATACATTCCCAGCATTATACAAATGGCCCATTTGGTAGGCTGGCAGCTGCACGTTTATTGTGATGACTACTGCAGGCTGGTAACCAGAGCAGACAGTATAAATACTGTAATTAACCAGCCACACCAACTTATATCCTTCACCTTTACCCTTTAAAAGGGCAGAATGTTAATAAAAAAAAATTCAGGTTAGGGTACAATTTAATTGAATGCATCAAAAATAGATAATTCCACCAAATACATAAAAAAAAAATAATAATAATTACACTGCTTGATGCAATTTTGTTTGTAGTAAGAAAAAAATGATGGGTGGTTTGTTCTACTGCAAAACTGGATAATATTATATTTTCTCTACTTCTCGGTGTTGAATGCCACCTGCTGATAATTTTAACCAGTTTCATCTTGTTTAAATCACTATACTATCAAAGCGGGAGAAATTTAGCAGGTTCGTTGATGAAAATATTTGCTTTTAACAGAAACAGTCATAGCCCCCATTTAGGAGTCAAAGTTTGTTCCCGAATTTCATCATTTCCCCCTCAAATTAACTTAGAAAGTACAATAATGGATAAAGCCGATGCATTTATTTCCTAAAACATGCTGAAGTGTTAAATATTCAATGCTGAATCTGGAGACTGTTTAAAAGCCATATTTCATCCATGCATGCAACTTAAGCTAAATACCTGACCAATCATTTTGTAATATTTAAAAACAAAGAAAATCTGTTATAGTCTGTAACATTTCACTTACTGCAGACTGCAGCAGACTACATGAATACAGTGAGGTCAAGATACTGACATTCACAGTGTAACTGTATCTTTGGAGTTCCTAGGACCTATATTAGACACTGCATGGTATTACTGGTTTGGTAAAAGGTCATTTGTCCTGGCTTGGAGTCATGCAAATTAAAGGTCTGAGTTCAACCTTTAAAAGGTCACTGAGGAGGGGTACATTCTGCAGAGGTCGAGGCCCAGTCATGAGCCCCTGCGTTCAAAAGTCAAACGAGTAAAAATAACCATAGAGAAGAGAGAAATTTGGGAGGAAATGGAAGAAATTTGAGAGGTAATGAGAGCATATCAAGTTTACTAGAGTAAAGGGGTGGATTCATCTGGAGAGCAAGGTCCAGGGATAGTTGCTCCTGAATGGGTCAGGCTTGTTAAACTCAATAATGCAGTTGCATAACCTGGAGTTGCAGAAGGGATTGACACAATCAATTTCTGCCAGTAGCTTCTTCCTCTGTCTGGTTTGTCTCTAGTCTGCAGAGGCAGGCAGCAACAGCGCATGCGTTGCATTCAATTCACGTCGGAAAGAGTAAATCTCCGACTAGTCCCTATAAGTGCATAATGCGAACGCTTGTGCAGCTCAAAATCACTAGGATTGTGTTTTTGTTGTACGGTCTCGGCCAAAACGCCCAGTCAGGCGCAACAACGCCTCAACCACCGCTGGACCCCGATGTAAAATTGACCGTAACCACCGTTTGAACTTGAACGCACCCCGCGAGTCAGCGGGACTACGTGCTGCTGTGAGCGCACACCCACCACCGACATGACGGAGGGAGCCCTCCGTGTCCTTCATTCGTGTCCCCCAGCAACTTGCAGCCACTGGCCTAAAGTTAACAAATCTACAGCTTTAAATTCGGATTTTTCTTTTTCTTTTCTCCATTAATCTTTTAAAGACCAATGAGGAGGAGGAGATTGGTGATGCTAAAAGTCTGATTCAATGAATTACCGAGCCGTTTCCAAATAAAAAACTGCCAACTACACGAATTTAAACGTCTCGGCTTTGTGCATTTTTCAAGATGTCCCTTTTCGTATTGAAATGGTTTGACTTCTGTCAACAATCACGACTTACCGACATTAGGATCCACCTTGCCTGCGTTCAGGGTCTGGATGAGCTCCCCAAGGCTTTTTTTGTCGCCGTTCATTTTCCAGTTTCCACCGACGAAGAATTTCCTGGTCATGTTTGCGATTTTCTTGGAGAGAAAATGTACTAAATATTAAAACAGAACACAAGAGTCCTTCAAAGCTGGGGCGAAAAAGCGAACGGTAGGGGGCAGTTAGTGGATTTTATAACGACGGAAGTCATGACTCCTCCTCTCCTTTACGGGGATTGGTCCGTGTGTGGCAGGACGTCCGTGAACGCATCTCCATAGACTAGTCACTAGGAAAGGGAAAAGGGAAATGTCACGGTGCGTTCAAGTACTGTGTGAAATCATCCTGTCACAATCCTACAGCTCACACAAGAGGCCTATTTTTTTTTTACGTCAAAATTATATATATAAAAAAATGTTTTCTCGATAAAAATAAATACGACGTAACTTTGACTGATGAAGTTTTTAAGACGCGACAGTGGCAATGATATTCAAAATACACTGTGGGCTGTAGAAAAGTTATTTAGATTTTCGCCAGATATCATACAAATAATAATAATAAAAAAAAGCGTTTATTGTGGTCAGAAGATATGTAAATTTTATATTTATTCACAACAAAACAGGAGAAGAAAAGTGTCGTAAAGCTTTCAGGTTTGTCAGAGGAGACGACATAAGCTCAACAGTCATTCACACTGCTCTATAGTTCTGTGAACGACAAAAAAGACAACAATTTACTCTCTGTATGTTTTTATCGTGCCAAATAAATGATCTAATGTCTCAAATGCTTTTATTCTATTGTATTTTCAATAAACAAGCAATCAAAAAATAAAAAATCATAAGTTGGACTCCAATGTCTCACACTGCCACCTTATGGCCATCAAATATAATTTCCCAAATGTCATTAACCGACACCGAATATTTTAACACTAGAGGGCGCTGTTCTTCTTTACACCAGTATTATTCATTCATAATACCCAGAATGCATTGAGACAAAAAAATCCGTTTATGAGGCATCTAAATTGTGTGTATTAATGCTTTGTTATTGACGTTCATCGTATTCATTGTCATGTCCCCTTCTTTTATTAACAATATATCTTAGAAAACTTGGCATTTCTATATTTACAAATTCGATAAACTGCACCATAATGCAGCTTGCGTGTCTGATGTTGAAGTAGTCCAGCGTACCTAATAAAAACCAGGAATCTTTGCTCTTAAGATATTTGTCTAGCAGGTTTCTCATAATGAGAAGCCCCCCTAATTTGTTTAACGTCAACAAAATATAATAGTTCTCTAAGGACATGAATGACTTGGGATCGATATAGTATTGTCAATGAGTTAACTCAAATATGCAGTGAGCAGGTCTGTTATAATTGTTACTCACTACTCTATACAGTAATTAATGTTCAATAAAAGCTGCCATTGCTGTTGTTCCAAAGATTCACCAAAGACTTCATGGTTTTTACGTTTTTTTTTAGAAAGAGAAACCCATCTGAG